GGATCTAGATCTGGTAATTTTAAATAATGGTGAAGCTACCTATGTTCCTAGATATGGTACCGAAAAATCGATGATTGACATATCACTTTGCACAGCTAATATAGCTAGTAAAATCACTTGGTCAGTTTTATCTGACACCTTAGGCTCCAATCATTTTGCAATAACTATGAATTTTTCAATAACTTACACATCGCAGGAAACAATTCATCCAAAAAGCAAGTGGAACATCTAAAAGGCCAATTGGCCGCTGTATACATCTTTAATTGAAAACATGTTTTCTAATAAAAGTAACTATCTGAATACTTATGAAAATTATAACTTTCTAATAGATTGCATTAATCATGCTGCTATTAAATCTATTCCTCAATATAAAATTTTTAAATCCAAAAATCGATCCCCTCCGCCATGGTGGGACCCAGAATGTGATCTGATAATTAATAACAGAAAAGAAGCATTAGCAGTTTATAAACGTTCACCAAGCCTTGATAATTATCTAAAATGTCAGAAAATTACTGCTCATACTAAAAAGCAGCTGAAACAAAAAGCCAAAGCTAGTTGGATTAAATGGTGTTCTAATTTAAGCAAAAATATTTCTTCTAAAGAAATATGGTCTCAAGCTAACAAAATGAACCGAAAATCACATAATAGTACAAAACCCTTCAATGATACTTTATTAGAAGACTTCTTTAATAGAGTATCTCCTCCATGGGTTCAACATTCGCCTACACAACCTACACAAAGTCATCATTCAAATTATCACTTTCTATTAAAACCTTTTACCAAAACTGAACTAGACTTCGCCCTTAAAAACCACATTAATACTTCTCCTGGAATCGATCATGTAAAATACCCCATGTTAATCAACCTACCAACGGTTGCAAAAAACCATCTTTTACATATCTTCAATGATATCATCCAAAATAACATAGTTATCGAGTCCTTCAAAAATATCTTAGTCGTTCCTATCCTTAAACCCGGAAAGGATCCAAATATTGTGAGTTCATATAGACCAATATCCTTACTCTCGTGCGTATTCAAAACCCTAGAAAGGCTTATAAAATTTAGATTAGATTGGTGGATACAAGAAGAGAATTTATTACCAGTAAACCAGTTTGGCTACAAAAGAGGTTTTGGAACTCAAGACGCTTTAACAACACTTGTTGTTGATGTACAGAACAACTTAACTAGGAATAACTATTTAGCAGCCCTATTCTTGGATATTGAAGGAGCATATGAATCAGTTTGTTTGTCAATATTGAAATTCAAAATGATAAATTTCTTTCATTTGCCAATTGCTTTCGTTAACACAATTATCGGTTTCTATACAGACAGGGTAATCTACGTCAGAGACCATAATAACAAGCTAATAGGACCTAGACACAACTATCACGGCATACCACAAGGCTCGGTATTATCGCCAATTTTATTTAATATGTACACGTCTGACATACATAATATGCAAATAAACAACATCCCATTTAAAATAATACAATATGCAGATGACTTTTGTATCTATACAGAAAGTAAGAAATATGAAAACGGTATGCAAAACCTAGGTAGAGTATGTAGTTCTCTTTTCCCATGGTACTTAGAGAACGGCTTAAATTTATCAATTGACAAATCAGCAGTATCTGTCTTCACAAGACACAACCTTCCTCCAAATCAAAATATACTTCTTGATAATCAATCTTTTACATTCAAAAACCATATCAAATATCTGGGCCTTATACTGGATAAAAAATTGACTTGGAAACAACACATACAATATATGCTAGATAGATGCAAAAAAGGTAGTAATTTTCTTAGAATGACAACCAAAGTGTGGTGGGGTTGCGATGTTGAAACATCCTTATTGTTTTACAGAGCTTATATACGATCCATTATAGATTATGGTGCTACTCTTTACGGTTCTGCATCTAGAAATCTTCTAAGAAAAATTGACATTTTTCAAAATTCTGTCTTAAGGGTCTGTTTAGGTGCTATGAGATCTACCCCTATACAACCACTACATGTTGAAGCTTATGAACCTCCTCTTTCGATTAGAAGAAATTTATTAAGCGAAAAATGGGTACTCAAAGCCCACTCAACATATCCCAAATTATTTTCCAGTATACGTCAACTTAACGAATCAGATCTCACTCATAAATATTGGATTAAGAAGCCGTCTCCACCTTTGTGCACTGCTTTACAGAACAATTCAATTTTTTCAAAAAATTTGGCCAAAGTGGAAAAAAATTTAGACTTCTTTGCTCTCTTCCATAAAGCTGAAGTTATAATACCCACATATAGTCACAACAACAAATTGAGCAACAATATTCTGAGATCTGTTTTGAACTGTTATAGTGATGCCACAGTTATATACACGGACGCATCCAAATCAATAGAAGGGACTGGCTGTGCCTTTTTTCTACCCTTAGGAGGTTCTGAATTTAAGTACAAACTTTCCAAGGAGTTTTCAATTTTCTCGGCGGAATCATTGGCTATACTCGAAGCTTTGAAATATGTTAAAAACTCTTATATTAAAAAATCGTTAATTCTTTCAGACTGCCTTTCAGTTCTACAGAACATAAAAAACACTTTTTTGCCCAAAACATTTAGTAATCCTTATATTTTTCTGATAAAAGATCAATTAAAGCACTTAGTAGATTCTGGCTTTAATATAAAATTTATTTGGGTTAAGGCACATATTGGACTCAAAGATAATGAATATGTAGATTACTTAGCTAAAACCAGTATAATATCAGGCACTTTATTACCATATTCTTTATGTGTATCAGATGCCATTAGGATATTTAAAAAAAACCAGCTAGCGACATGGAAAGATCAATGGAATCTTTACTGCCTTACAAACCAAACAAGATACACTACTTTACAACCAGTTATTCCACAAACTACTTGGTTTAAGAATTTTAAATCTCCACGTAAATATATAACCACCATAAATAGACTACGCTTTGGGCATGCGTGTTATCCAAGTCATTTATATAAAATAAATGTGATTGAAGATGATAATTGCAAACATTGCGGAAAACTGGGTGATCTTGATCACATCTTTTTTAAATGCCCTAAGTTTCAACAGCATTCAAACTCTCTCTACAAAAAATTAATCGAATTTAATATGTATGCACCATTCAATATTCAGTCGCTACTGGCGACAGGCTCACAAAATATATATAATATCATTATAGATTTCTTGTCAGACACATGCATGGTTCTATAGAATTTGTACTCGAGCATGAAATGTTTCATGATCGTGTGGAAATTTAGATTTGTATCCTTTGTTTACCCTAAATGTTATAACACCTTATCCGTGGTCCAGTTTTGTTTGTCTACTAAGAATGTCTTGATGGGCCCCTAGACGAGAAGCAAGTGACCCTGTAAGTTTCCTTGTCGTATATTCTTCTATTAATTATCCGTTAGTTTTCGATTAGGGATAGAGTTGTGCATTTGTCTGATTGGAGAATCTATTGCAACTGGCTGAATGACTAATGTCAATGCCATTAAAAAAAAAAAAAAAAAAAAAAAAAAAACTAATTTGGTTACAGCATTCAGATAATCCTCGATTTTTGAATTTGGAATTGTATTTACTATAATTGCTTTTTTTTTTAGGTTCATTTAAAACTGTTGAATATAACTTTGATAAAGTAGTATCATTTTTTGGGATTTCTTGTTGTGAAAAATCATTTGGCGATGAAGCTTTGTTCATGTTGATCTACGGAACCTGAGTACGGTCCTCGCACCAATACGAAATAATACTCGATGTAATTAAATAAATTAAATTACTTACAATTAATGTCCATAAGTATCAACAATAAATAATTATTTGTCAATAATTTACACTTCACTACACTTTTAGCTTGCAATGTTTTTTTTTTCAAAATAATATTCATTTTTAAGATTTTAATAGTAGCTTAAATACTGTAGTGGAATATATTCGGCAATCTTAAATAAATTGGCATGTGTCTTTTTTAATTGGTAGTGGCCCTTCATAGGCTTCTGTAAGTTCAGCAAGTATGACTTTAGTTATAGGGGTTTTAGTTGACTTTAAAGAATAAGATGACTATGGTCTTATGTCGGATTTTTTAACCGTATAGTATTTGGATCATCTGAGCTAATTTGTATCCACAATGACAGTTATTTTGCACTTTGGATTTTTCCATACTATATTTTCTGCGTTGATAAAATTTAAAAAAAATGTTTGATGCATTTAGATAACTTTCAATGAGTTTTTACCTTTAGCTTTTGCAATTACATCTCTCCTCTGAAACAAGCTATAAACCGATCAATGTTTCTTGTTTTCTCTATCACAGGGCAGAAAGCTGTGTCCACTAGTTAGAAACTTTTGCTCAGTTTGGGTGAAGTATTTTTCTAATAGTAGTAGTCTTTTTGTAGTACTTTTTTGTAATTGTTTGGATTTAAAATCACAATCAGAACGTAATGCTTAAAAAAAACATTAAAATGTCACTGTCAATTGACTATTTTTCTTCTACCTCTCTAGTGTAGCCTATCCTTACGAAACGGTCAAATTATCATGCACAAGGGCTGGTTTTTTTCCTGAACAATCTGGACATTGAATATTTTTACTGAACACCTTTATTTTTAAAACAGAACCACTTAGTGACTTTTAACGTTATAGTCCTGTTTATTTTGACATTATTGACGATGAGAGATTGTGTATCATAACTCGGTGAAGCTCCAAGAGTCTCTATGGTATGATATTTTCTTATTTTATATAAGTTGTAATTGTATTTGGTATATTTATTATTTGGTTTTTTTTAGACTTTGTTACATTCAATTGTAGTTTCGTTTTTTAAAGGTTTTAAAATTTTTGCGAAATTTCCAACTCTGGTCTGGTTTAAGTATTATTTTAAGAAAAAAACAACAACTAGAGTTGGGACTGATCTGTGACTGTGAGAATAGGTCTATATTACACTTTTTGCTATTAGTAGTTCTCAAAATTCTTATCCTTTGTTAGTGATTATGTAAATATTCTATTGCAGGGTGCAAAAGTATGGATACCAGACGCAGAAAAAGTATGGCAAGCAGCGGAGTTACTTGATGATTATTCTCCATCGAAAACGTCACTCAACGTTCTTACAAATGCAAACGAAACTAAAGCGTTAACAATTAAGTCTGAAAAAGATCTCCCATTTTTGATGAACCCCCGCATTTTACTGGGAGAAAATGATTTGACGTCTCTTTCCTACCTGCACGAACCTGCCGTTCTTCACAATTTGCAGTACAGATTTTGTCAAAAGAATGATATCTATACCTACTGTGGCATTGTACTGGTTGCCATTAATCCATATACAGAGTTACCTATTTATGGTGAGTATTACATTATTGTTAAAGCAAAAAAGGTGTGTATGAGAGTACGAGTTCAGAAATTGTCAATAAACTATAAACAACATATATTATTTTTTAAATTAAACAGATTTTATAGTTAATTTAAAAATATTTATCCATAAAAAATAAAAATTAAATTTTGCACTAATAGACAATGGTGACCTAATAAGTTGTAAATCCACCATTGGCATCATATTATTGCTCGACTGCTGGGTGGCATACTATCTATTAAATTATCAATAGATTTTTAACAAGTTTCCCCATAACCGTGATAACAGTTTACAAAGCCTTCTTGGTGACAGGGGATATCAGGCTGAAAAGTGTGGATATAATGCCAAATGAGGAATTCCATGATTATTTCTACTGTCTTCGACAACTCCAAAAAACTGACTGGTATTTAATGAATGCATGAAAATTAATAATTATATGCTCAATAATGTCCTGTCTGTACATCTCACCATGCATATTATCCTGGCAAAGGTAGAGATCTGCTTTTTTACCGAAACAGATTCCAGCCCAAACCATAACACCACCATCTCCAAAATGGATGAACCAAATCACATGGTCTTTGATTTGTTCAATACCCTTCATCTTGTCCATACACGTACTCGACAGCTTTCTGCAAATAGGCAAAATCTGTGATTGCCACTGCATACCCTTCATTTCTTTAATTTAATTGGGTAGTCCAACTCAATATTTGACGCCAATTTCATAAAGTTAATTGTGTACGTATCAAATGACACCTAGATACCAAACCAAATGTTTTTAAACGTCTTCGAATAGTTCAAGTGGAAACAAAAACAAGAGTATCAGTGTTACAGAGTAACAAGGTAAAAAAGTACAAACAAATGGTACACAAAACATTCTGGACTACATTAAAAAGGCATGTAAGGCGTGTAAGGCATAGAAGCACATTACAGACTATGCAAGTATAGTGTGTTTCTTTTAGAATCTTATGCTTTCCATACTCAACACAGCGTTTACTTGGTGGTCGTTTATTTTTCTCGGTTGCCTGATATATTGTGGGAAAATGTCGTTCAATAAGGCATAATGGTGAATAAATATCTTCCGGTTTACGACTTGTTAAGGCCTGAGGTTTGATTGTCTTGTGTTCAGCAATACTTTCTTTAACAAGTGTATATTGAAAATCTGCAAGTGGAATATTCTTTCCACTGGTAATATTATATAAGATATGAGCATTTAACCAACATAAGTCCAACAAATGAAAAAATACGTTCTTATACCGCTTTATTCACTTTCCCACATATTCAGTACTACTGAGAAGCATGTCAATTTTGCCTACAGTCCATACTACAATTATAATCCAGTGCACATCCTGGTTTTTGGATAGAACCATTGTCCTTACTTTTTTACCACTATCTTTCACGTTGCTGGAGAGAAATTTCTTAAGCATTGTAACTGGACGTCTATCTAACCACTTCAGTGCCTGGATATTTGTAGTTTTGTAGTCAACTACTTGATTTTTACATTGGTTTTCCGTCATATGTGGTATATGTTGTCTATTTGATTTTACCGTTCCGCACGCATTCGTTTTATCTTTATATAGCTTGTCAAATAAACGCGGGTTGCTGTACCAGTTGTCCACATACACCGTATTGGCTTTATTCAAGTAAGGCTCTATTAACGTATATACAATTTTTCCAGAAATTTTTAGATCTTTATCGAAGATTTTAATGTCAGTACTCGACCCAGGATAAATGATAAAGTCCAAAACGTAGACTGTCTTACAGTCACATAAAACGTAGAATTTAATTCTACATAATGTGCCTTTTAGATTGTATATATTGTTTAAATGCTAGGCTTTCCTTGTAATGCATCAAGTTTTCATCGAAACAAATGTTTCTGAACATCTGGGGTAACTAATTACTATTTAACTGGGAATAAGCCACAATAAAAGATAAAAATACGTTTATTGACGTTTCAATTTCCACTTCGGAAATCGTTCTCAAAATACAAACAGTAAATTAAACAAATTTTGTTTTTGTTACAAAGTGAAAAATTCTTCTAATAATTTAGTTTTATCTGACTCATTTATATTGACATTTTAGACATACATTATGCATTTTAAAGTAGACGACTTTAAAATGATATTGCCAATATTGTTGAGTTGCGCTCCTGGGACGACTTTACTTATAAGATAGTTCATTCGATTACATGAAATCAACTTTAACTTGAGAATATCCGTCAGAAAAAAAATCATAGCGTGTAATTCGTCTTTAAAAAGACAAACACATGACATGATTACAGTAAAATTCTCCTGTTAGTGATTCCATAGTAAATTATGAGGGAAAAAACAGGAAAAAAACCTCATAATACTATCCCGATATGGTAAGTATTTGTTGGTGCATTTAGTTTACCTTCAATAAACACCAAAATTCTGATTTTATATGTTTGGTTATTGAAAAAACATAAATGATGTATTCTCTATATGTTACTGACTTACTAATATTGATATTTTCTTATTAATAACTTCCTTTTTCAATATTGGTAACCAGATGCTACTACATTCTGCCGAGGAACTTGCAAAAATTCGTTCTTGGAGGAGAAACATTTGTTAACATCTGTTTTAATAAAAAATGATTATACTTTATCGTTTATAAATAAGGAATTTTCAACAATTGATCGAATAGAACAGAACAACTTAGAACGAGATCCTACAGCATACACAAGGAATAGTACGAGGAAAATAACAATACCGTACATAAAAGGATTATCAGAAAAACTTAAAAGGATAGGCAATAAATTCAACATTTCAACAACATTCAAAACAACAAACACATTGAGATCTATTTTGTCCAAAACCAAACCTAACAATGAACAAGAAACGACAAAGAATTGCATTTATAAAATACCTTGTGAATGCGATCAGTTTTATTTAGGTGCAACATCAAGGCCATTAAATGTTAGAATAAGTGAACATCAATCTTCTATTAAAAATAGAGAATTTAATAGATCTCAAATATGTAAACACGCATGGGATAATGAACATAGGATTCAATGGAATAGTTCAAATGTAGTCCTAAAAGAGACGGATGGTAAAAAAAGAAAAATCAAAGAAGCGGCTCTAATTATGCTAAATAAGGACAATTGTGTCGCAAATTCCTCGGCAGAATGTAGTAGGATCTGGTTACCAATATTGAAAGAAGAAGTTATTAATAAGAAAATACCAGTATTAGTAAGTCAGTAACATATAGAGAATACATCATTTATGTTTTTTAAATAAAGAAACATATAAAATCAGAATTTTGGTGTTTATTGAAGGTAAACTAAATACACCAACAAATACTTACCATATCGCGATAGTATTATGAGGTTTTTTTTCTCATAATTTACTATGGAATCACTAACAGGAGAATTTTACTGTCATCATGTCATGTGCTTGTCTTTTTCAAGATGAATTACATGCTATGATATTTTTCTGACGGATATTCTCAAGTTAAAGTTGATTTCATGTAATCGAATGAACTATCTTATAAGTAAAGTAGTCCCAGGAGCGCAACTCAACAATATTGGCAATATCATTTTAAAGTCGTCTACTTTAAAATGCATGATGTATGTCTAAATTGTCAATATAAATGAGTCAGATAAAATTAAATTATTAGAAGAATTTTTCACTATGTAACAAAAAACAAAATTTGTTTAATTTACTGTTTGTATTTTGAGAACGATTTCCGACGTGGAAATTGAAACGTCAATATACGTATTTTTATCTTTAATTGTGGCTTATTCCCAGTTAAATAGTAATTAATTTAAAATGCCACCAGAAAATAGTTTCAGAACAATATCTGAGGTAACTTTTAAGTAGTTTATCACATTTGTATTTATGTTCTAGTATACAATCTAATATATTGTTTTTTATTAGGATTATTTCTATTTCTCATTCAAGCAATTGTCTACAGTGTTTCCACTTATTACAATAAAGCACAGTGTGCTCAGTAGTATCAGGTACTTCACAGTATAGCCACCTATTGTTTTCTCTAATTTTTATTTTGTAATCATAGTCCATGAAACGTCCGGAGCCAGTTAGAAATTGGACTAAATGGTGGTGGATTTAACAAAATTTTAGTTTTTAGGTATAAGTGTATGAGTCTACTTACTCACTTTACCCTTCTGTCACTGTTCTTAAAGTCTGTTTATTGTAATTTCTCTAACCTTTTTTTTGTTTTATTTTTCAATGGTTTTGCTTCTTTCGCAAACTAAGAGCTTTATTGGGATTACTCTCCAGATAAGTAAACTGCTTTTAGTGGATATTGTTTTGTTAATTTTTTTAAGTGTTTTTTTAGTGCTTTTCCCCATATAGTTAATGCATACAGTATTATGGACTGCAAGAACGCTATAAGCATTCTATTTTTATGCTCTTTAATCCCTCCAATTCTAAGAATTGGCATCAGTGCTTGTGCTATCTTTTTAAATTTAGGGATAGCTTTGTCGTTGTGCTCAGCCCCATATAATTAAAGCTCTGGAGGGTTGATCACTATATCATCTAATATTAAACTTATTGGTCTACTTTCTTATTCTTTCAATTAGTATAATCGTTTCTATTTTTTTGGCGGCTTCAGCTGGAGTTCGTGTTCTCTTATCCATCTGATCATTTCCAATTCCGTATTTTGTTGTACTTTTATAAGATTTTCACAATAGTGGCCCTAAAATACATCCTAGGGATACGCCAGCTTCTATATTATATATTCGGAGCCTGCGTCAATTATAATTTTGTATAGCTTTGCTTTTAATTTCTCGCATTATCAACCTTTACGACGCTGTGTTAAAAGTACTTTTAATATTTATAGTTATCAGCGCATATGAACTTCAACTTCTATTGTTTTTTCTGAACTCTATTTCTACGCTCTGTACGACTCTATTAATGGCAACGACTGTTAAATCCACATTGTCTATCGAAAAGATCTCCCTTCTCCTTGAATTTTCCAGTAATATGCTCCAGTAGCTTGGTTAGATGGGCCTTT